TATCACTGTATTGTTATAACACCACAGACAGTAGTATCCATGACAACACCTTCTAAGCACTTCCGTACTTTAGGTACTGAATTAGAGGCTGAGGAACTTTGGCAGTCAGAAGTCATATGACCTTCACAATCTTTCTTTGAAATACTTAAACTAAAGGCCTAGTCTGAGTGATCTATTATCACAGAACAGAGGTGATCTTAAATTGTCAAAGACAATGCCAAGGGAATACAAGCTTTGGTTAATCCCACCACACTGAAAAGGTTTTTAGTTCTTTGCTTGTTGCCTCAGGACCCAATAATCAAAGTTCAAAGAAGTCCATCATTAGAAATTTGGTTTCCAAATGATTATTTTTTTTAAAGGGAGGTAGGGACAGAGATGGAGGCCTTATTACTGAAGCACGTGAAGATCATTTAATAAGGTATAAAAGTGTTGCAAATCAAAGACCTTTAAATGTATAGCAGTATTTATTGAAATAATGATGCATGTCATAGGGAACAGGGTGTTACACTTAAGAGTAAGGAAGATCTTCATTTAAATCTCACCTAAGACACATATTATCTGGGAAATCCAGGAAAAAAAATCACTTAACTTTTCTCAGTCTGTTTCTTCATCTGAAAAATCTGGATAACAATACCTGTACCAAGTACTTCACTGAGTTGCTACAAGGATCAAATTAGATAATCTATTTTTTAAAACTTAAAGTATCAAAAGATAGAGTCCAGTATTCAATAAACTCTAGTACACAAACTATTCAAGAAAGATTCTCTATTGGACAAAAAGTGCTAGGAAAACTGGAACTCACATTGGCAGAAATAAAGTTTAGACCAGCATCTGCTACCATATAGCAAAAAAAGCTCATAATAGTTATGAGACCAAATACAAAAAGGCTATTTTTCTTAATAAAAAGTTTATGAGAATAGAAGGCTATGCTTTTCAAAACCATAACTAAAGAGAAAATTTATAAGCAAACAAAGAACAAAGATCATAAAAGAAAGATGCACAATTTTCAATATATTAAAAGGTTTTTTTTCATCAACAAAATCAATGCAGCTAAAAAAAAGAGAAACAAACCATAGGGAAAATGTTTGCAGCAAATATATATAATAATCAACTGATTTCTAAGATATATAGGGAACTGACAAAAAATATGACTAAAAATCATTCCCCAATACATGGTCAAAAGAGGTGAAAAGTAGAAAAATCACAAACCATAAAGAATCACAAGAAAAAAATGTTTAAAACAATTAGTATAAAGATAAATATAATTAAGATATCTCTGAAGTTTAACCTCACACCCCTCAAAGTGGCAAAGATGACCAAAATCAATATTGATGGGCCTAGAAGAAGATAATACACGTGTAATACATAGTTGGTGATCTGTGAACGGTAAAATCATTCTGAACAATAACTTCAGGTTATGCAAGAAAATTTACTTAAGTATTACTATCCTTTGATCCAGCAATATCCCTACTGGGCATTTATCCCAATGAGATCAAAGTTACAGGTAAAGTTCCTATTATATACCAAAATACAGCTACAGTTTTTGTTGTTATAAAAAACTTGAAATAAAGTGGGTGCTTGTCAACTGAAAAATGACTGAACAAATTGAATATATGGATATAACAAAATGTTACTGTGGTATAAGTAAAAAATATGAGAAATTCAGAAGACAAGCATTCTGAGGTTTGTGCAAATTGTTGAAAACTAAGTAAAAATAACCAGAAAAACAATCTACACAATGCTTATAATAATGTAAACAAAAACACTAAAAGGCAGCCAAAATTTGATTATCTATACTCAAATTTGGTCACAGATGACTCAGTCAACTAACACTTATTAAGAGCCTACCATGTCCCAAGGACTTTGCTAAGCACTGGGGATACAAGGAAAGGGTAAAAATAAACTGCTCTGAAAAACAGTCAAATGGTAGAAACAACTTACAAACAACTCTTTACCAATAGGATAGATAGATATATATAGATATATAGTACAGACTGGAGACAATCTCAGAAGACAGGCACTAACATCTCACCAAGAAGATGAGATTTTAGTTGGGACTTAAAGGAAGCCAGGGTAGCTAAGAAGCAGAGAAGAGGAGAGAATGTTCTAAGCATGGAAGAAAACCAGTGAAAATATTCAGATTCCAGAGACTGCATTTTACTGGATCACAGGGTATGTGGGGGACAGAAAGTAAGAAGTAAAAAAAAGTTAAAATGTAAGAGGGGATTATGTTATTAAGGGCTTTAAAAACCAAACAGAGGATTTTTTTTATTTGATGGTGGATGTAACCTGGAGCCAGTGAAAGTTTTTGAATAGAGGAGTGACACATTTAGACTTGTGTTTTAGGATGATGTGTTTTACAGCTGAGTGAAGGACAGACTGGAATAGGGAGATTTGAGGCAGAAAGATCAACTAGCAGGTTACTGAAGTTGTCAAAACCTGAGATGATGATGGTTTGCATTAGGGTAGTGTCAGTGTCAGAAGAGAGAAGGGAACATATAAGAAAGGTGCTGCAAAGTTAAAAATTACAGGATTTGACAACTGATTGAATATGTAGGGGAGAGGTGTGAGAAAGTGAGAAGTAAAGTACAACACTTAGGTGGAGATGACTGGAAAGACAGTGGTGCCCTCAACACTACATAATAATAATAATAATAATAATATATAACAATATATAATATAATAATATATGATAATATAATAGGGAAGCTAGGAAGAGAGAAGAGAGAAAGATAATGAGTTAAGTTTTGGGCATGGCGAGTTTAAAATGTTTAAGGTGTTTACAAGACATTCAGGCAGAGATGTCTAATAGTAGGTTGGAGATGTAAAACTAAAGAGTTAAAAAGCGAATGAGAGGAAAATATGTAGAAGTACCTACGGTAGACAGCCTTATCAAAGAGTTTTGCCACTAAAAGGAGGATGACAGCTAGTGGGGAGAAATAGAGCTAGTGAAGATTTTCCAACTTCTATGATGATGAAATATACCTCCCTCCTCTAAATAGAAAGCAGTGAAAGTAGAAATGTGGAACATGGAATATACTGTAAGATACAGTCATTGTGCCAGTTGGCTTTGCTTAAATGTTTTACTTTCTTATAAAGGGGAAGGATAGGGAGAAATCAAATCATTACTAAGCACCTACTAGGTACCAGGCATGGTGGCAAGCAATTTACAAATATGATCTCATTTGACTTCACAACAATCCTGTGAGGTAGGTGATTATCTCTATTTTACAGTTAAGAAACTAAGACAGATAAAAGATAAGTGACTTGCTCAGGGTCACACAGCTAATATGTGTCTGAGGCAGGATTTGAACTCATGTCTTCCTAACTCTAGGCCTGAAGGGGGTTTAAGGTGGTGGGAACAGGTCAGGGGAAATAACTGTGGTGTAAAACAAAATGCAACAATAAAACTTCCCCTTCAAAGCCATTTAAAACGCTATATAAATGTCATGTGTCCTTCCTCCCCACTTCCAGCCAGACTAGATCTGATTAGTATAATATTATAAGAAATTGCCTCTATCAATGAAAACCAGTGTCTATCCTGACACTTCTAGTCTGAAAATTGCCTGGGAGGCTGAGATCTTATGTGACTTGCCCAGAATCACAACTAGTATGTGTTAAAAATCTTCTGGAGTCCAACATCCGTTTTCTATCCATCATGTCATTTTCTATCAATTATTATTAATTATAACTGTAAAAAACATTTGACATGGGGAATAGCCATGAACTGGTTTTCTACAAGAAGAATAGGAGACACATGGGAACAGTACAACCAGGACCACCAGCACAACAACAAAGATCTTTTGGCAGGGATGTGTCCAAAGTGTTTCTGATATACCAAAAAGAACATACAAGTAGAAACAATCCTAGCCTTCCTCATCCAAGTTGGCAGAATCTGTAATTTAATTTTGAAATAAGTAGGGATATGTTAATTGTAAAATAAAGATAGTTGATATGCTTTTTGTACACATAAAAATTACAAATCATATGCCTTTTAAATTCATATTTTACTAACAGCACATAATTACATACAATGTGGAGAAAAGATAAGTGTATACAATACTAAAATTTATGTAAAAAATGTAAATAAAGCACCATTGAAACTTGGTATTGGAAGTTATGCTCTTCTAGTCAATGAGATAACTTTACATTATTTTAAATATCGGACTCTGGAGCCGCTTGGAAATTCAGAAAATATGGACAGCATGAGAGAATGCATTTACCAAGAAACTGGACCAAAAGATAGTTTTGCCAATAGTTCTTTCATACAAAATTAGCTTGACTCCATTTGTAAAATGATTTATTAATAACTCTGAACACATGTAACATTATCGAAAAAATGAGAAGTCTCCAATCATAGTTCTTCCCTGTTATTATATTTATGAATATCATTGCAAGCAGTTATTAGAAGTAATTCAACTAGGATTTTCAAGTGTGTGAAGGTCTTCCAGTCAATGACATAACTTTGCATTGTTTAATATCAGACTTTGGAGATGCTTGAAAATTCAGAAAATATGAGAAGAGTATTGGAAAATTCATTTACCAAGAGACTGGACCAATATAGCTTTGCCAATAGTTCTTTCATACGAAAACAGCTTGGTTCCATTAGTAAAATGATTTACTACTATCTTTGAACATGTGTAACATTACAGAAAAAATATAAGAAGTCTCTAAACATAATTCTTCCTGTTATTGTATTTATGAATATCATTTCAAGTAGTTCTCCATTAGAACTTGCATTTCTAATTTAACATTATGATGACTTCTCAAAAATTTCTATTTTCTATCATGTACAGAACACAATTAATGAAACAATGAGCTTGTATTTCAAACAACAAAATTTAAAGAATAAAGCATTTACTTAATTTATTAAGTTAACAAAATTTATAAGACAAAAGCATACATAGAAAGCTCATTCATTTGTAGCAGAAACCACTACAGAAAATCTCCCAGTGGTATAATTTTAGACTACAGCCACTAGATGGAAGCATTGTACTTACAGTTGGAGATGTAGCAGCAGAGAGCAAAGGTAAAATTCCTCCACAAGCAATGATGATGTTGTCTACCATCTGAGAAATGAGGTGAATTGTGTTGTGTACAAAAATAATATTTTCATTGCTATTGACAAAATCCATTACAGACTTTGTGGAATGGCTACAAAAAACGGGAAAAAATCCATGAATGAACACAAACTTTTTTAGGGAAAAACATGTTTTATACTTTTATACTACTTTATTACTAAAGTTCATTGGAAATATATACCATATCTAAAGTTAAATTACAATACTGCTTTATTATATACCAAAAATACATATAAGTTATGAGTATCAAAAGAAACCTAAATTAAAATTAGTATGTGCCCCTTTATTAAAAAGGAACACCTGAACAAAAATATATTCTATGGCTTAAGTTTAAAAGTATACACATGCAACACTATAGATTTTTTTCCTGTGGACTACAGATATCAGACAAGTAGCTAATTTCATCAATTTGTTTTAAAAAGGCAAGGTAATTGGGGTTACACAGACAAAACAAATGTTTGATTAAGAACAGAATTTTCCACCTTTCAGTCAGTTTTATTCATGCCATGCAGATAGTTAGCACAGATAATTAGTAATATGCTCCTAAATTAATAGATTTTGATTCCCATGTGAGTCAATTTCAAAACCACTGATTAGATCTCACAATACAATGTTTTATACATAGTAGGCACTGAAATGACAAAGACTACCTACTGTTTCTATTATAAAATATAAACTCTTTTTGGCATATAAAGCCTTTACAACCCAGGCACAGTGTCACGTGCCTCCTGAGGTCAGGCAAACTACACTTGGTATTTCTTACAAAAGACCCTCCATCTCCACTCTTTAAGTGTTTCTACTGGCTGTCCTTCATCCCTAGAAGCAACTCTCTCCACACCTCTAACTCTGTAAATCATTTGTTTTCTTCAAGAATAAGATCAAGTACCACCTTTTACATACAGCATTTGCTCCTAGTGCCCTTCCTTGCAAAGTTATCTTGTATTGACTTCACATATATTCTATATAAACTTATTTTTGTCTTCCCAATAGAATGTGAGCTCCTTGATGGCACAGAATATTTCGTTGTTGTTTTTACATTCCACATGCTTGACACACATAAGCACATAAAAATACTTAATGGTTGATTAATGATTAGAGAAGAAAATGAGAAAATTAAGTCACTGTTTGATAAAAAAAAAAAGGCCAGTGATTTCCATACAATGATACACATATCAACACTTGACTATATCCCAAGATCCTGAAAAAGTCAATGTACCATCCCTAGGCACTTAATGCTGAAAGAGAATAGCCAAAGGATAAACAAAACATGGTCTGAACTCAACTGAATGTGAGTACTGGTAACTTTAAAAGATGAGCTTATTTTTAAGCAAAAAAAAACCTGCTTTGCACAATTTTATTTTTTAGAAAGTATACAATAATAAAAATATGTAGAGCATCTTATTTTTATAAGTGTAAAAGCTAATTCAAAATTGTTATTTCAACATGTTTATCATGAGAAATTGATACTAGAAAGCAAAGACTGTGTTAACTTATTTCAAGCTTTTTTTCTTATGAAGAAATTATATCTAAATTGATGCTATTTTGATAAGATGAGCTCTAAAATATTAGCTATGGGCTTATCTTTTAATTCATCTAAACATTTTCACACAATTTAATTACAACAGTAATTTAACTTGACACATAAATTCTCCTGAGCTGTCCAAAAGATGCATTTCTTTCTTCATTCTCCTTAGTACATTAAAAAGAAAAAACAAGACCTGTCTGAAGGTTCTAGATTCTGATCTAATCCCTAGATCTATAACTATGGAATAGTTACGTGCATACCATATATCATTTTAATAATACTTAATAAATTTTGAATATGTGGTTCAATCAATCCTACCCATATGCTATCAATTCATACATTTAATAAAATTGTTTGTTTTAAAATGAATATTGTTTTATTTATTCCAAAGAAATATTTCTACCTCCTCCAAACATGTACATCTGTTTCTAAAGCAAATAGCAAGTCCGTGAGAAGCCTCTGGTGCATTGGAGACCATTTAAACTCAGGAATCCGAAACATCGTTGTGCGTGGACCTGGACTAAACTGACGTCGCTGTTCCTCAGTCATTGGCATTCCTCGAAATCCTAAATCAACTCTGAGATCTCTGTCTTGTTGAGTGATAGACCGTCCCTGAACCGCCTAAACAAAAGATATCTTTTTAAGTGCACATAATATCTGACTTCAAAAATGTTAAGAACAAATTAGCCATAACTTCAAGTATAGATGTGTAACAGGGTGAGTAAAATAAATCCTCTGTATGTAATTTCTGTAGGAATCCCTGTATAAGCATATTAGTTAAGAAGACAGCTCTCACTTTATTTTACAGATTTTTTTTAAAAAGTGAGACAGGGAATCTAAAGATTATGGATACTTTTTCAAAGTCTAAATTAGAACTGAGTATTCCTAAATTTTGTTCACAGCAATCAGTATATTAGATAACATGGATTCCCTATGAAATACGCTGTATATAAAAAAAATCTTCCATACTTCAACAAAATCAAATTTTATCTTCTCCCCTTTGCTCCCCTGCCAACCATCCTCCCACAACTAACATAGATCTCAACTCAGTGAGTAGAAAATTTTTATGAGCTCTTATGGCCAAAAAGAAAAAAGAATTATTTAGCTGATGAACAACCTTCAAGTGATAAGATACTTCACATTAAATTAGGTTAGACCTCTGAATATAGCGAATTGTCAAGGTACTATACTCTAAACCTTTTGGTCTCAGCAGGAATTAGTCAAAGAGCTTGTTGTGTGGTAGCATACCCTTCCAAAACCCAGAACTATATCCATACTTCAATAATTCTTGGAGTAAGAACTCAGAAGTTAAATAATATAGTCAATGAAACTACATATTATTAACAAATTACCATTTATAACAGTGGGATGAAAGAAACATTATCAATCAGGAAAAACAAGATAACAGATTGCATCATTGCTTTTCGTGTAAGAAATGTAAATAATGAAATAGGCTGGGCTATCTCAAAACGCATTTTATTCTGTTTATTGAATACATTTCTCATAAATACAGTACAAAAAATTCTGTAATGTAAGTACTCTAACATTGTCATGAACAGTGATCAATATATTTTGCCTCATTTAAATTTTTTCTTAATTAAAGAATATCCCCAAAATAAAACTATGACTATCACACAAATATTTAATAGTTTCTAATAGGAATAGACATGCCTTTTCTGTAGAGTATCTCTCTTTATGGAGTTATAATCAAAGTAAAAAATCTGACAATGATGAGACTCCAATAAAGAGGTAAATAAAGCAAGGCTTACTTGTTTCATAGAATCTCAGGATCACAGAATTTCAGAGTTAGAAGGAACTTTAGATGTCATCTAGTCTAACCAACACCTCAAAATATCCCCTACTTGTCACATGTCACATGACCTCTGCCTGAAGACCTTAAATGAAGGAGAACCCCCATTCACCTCCAAAGGCATTCCATTTCACTTTTGGACAAATCTACTAAGAAACTGTAGAAATCTAATTGTTGGCAGGTAGGTGGCGGAGTATATAAAAGGGCAGGGCCAGTACTCAGAAAGACTCATCTTCCTGAGTTCGAATCCTCCTTCAGATATTTATTAACTAGCTCTGTGACCCTAGACAAATTACATAACCTTGTTTGCCCCAATTGCTTCAACTATAAAATGAGTTAAAAAGGAAATGGCAGTGGGGGCAGACAGTAGGCATAGTGGATAGAGCACCAGCCCTGGAATCAGGAGGAACCCTATTCACATCCGGCCTCAGACACACAACACTTACTAGCTGTGTGACCCTGGGCAAGTCACTTAACCCCACTGCCTAGACAAATAAAAAAAAGAAAATGGCAGAACACTCCAGTACCTTAGCCAAGAAAACCCCAAATGAGGTCAAGAAGAGTAAGATACAATTGGAAAAACAGCAATTGTTAGGAAATCCTAACATTAAACTTAAACTGGTCTTTTTACAATTTCTACCCATTTCTTGTTTTAGTTCTGCCCTTGTAGGCCAAATAGAACAACCCTAATTCCTCATATATAATACCTCTTTAAATATATTTATATAGATAGCTATCATGTCCCCCTCCCCTGTTCTCCTCTCCATTCTAGGCACCCCAGTTTCTTTAACTTATCTTCATGTGATAGGAACTCAAGGCTCTTTCAAGATCCCACTTGCCCTCTGTACAGTCTCCTGTTTATCAATGTACTTAAACTTCAGCACCTAGAACTGAATACTATATTCCAGATGTAGTTAGCTCATGTGAGTGTACAGAGGGACAATTATCTCCTTATTGACCTCTTAAAACAGGTCAAGATTACATTAGCTTTTTGACTGCCACATTATATTGCTAATTCACAATGAGTGTGCAGTTCATTAAAACAATCAAATTTTTTTCAATCAAACTAATATATAACCATACCTCTTCTAATTTTTACTTTTTACAGAGGTGATTTCTTTGAACCCAAGTATGAAAATTTCAATTACAATACATCAATTTCCATCTCAAAGACATTAAAAGAACAGTGGAAAGCTAAGAAGATATTTTTTTTAAAAATCACTGAAGATTTAACACATAGTTGCTATTCCTATAACCTCTGCACATAAAACCTATTTAGCTTACACAAAGATTTTATTAACTATTGAAATGAAATGCTCCAAGCACAGGGACAGTATCTAACCTAAGTTGTGTCCTTTGTAGTCTGTTCTGTACTGAATTTGGAGTCAATTTGACTCCAAATCTCCATTCTGCTGTTTACTACCTCTATGTCCTTTAAGGCAAGTCACTTCCTGGGCCTTAGTTCCCTTATGTATAGAATGAGGGGGTTGCACTAGATAGCCTATATGCCCTTTCCAGCTCTAAATCTATGATCCTATGTGTTGACTGTATCTGTCTGCACACAAATTCTTCTGAAATACTGAAATGAATGACTTAAAGATTAATAATTAACAATCCCTGAGTTAACTACTTGGCTGCTAACTATTATGGTCCAGCAACTAGAGAAGAAAATTTCCTGAAGTTACTTTTTCCTTTGTTTTATTTACCTTAATAATTGGACAATCCAGCAGTGATGTTTCTGCACATAATTTTTTTTTCCTGTGGTGGAAAAGTAAGTAAGCATTGCTTACTACTAGGTAAATCTTAGTAAGTAAAATGAGTATGGTGTTAATAATGGAACTTTGGCCAAGAAATACAGCTAGTCAATACTGAGTAACACTTTATTCTACACAGATATGACCACTAAATCATAAGGAAAAATTAAAATAATGATAATTTGATATCATCATACAGAAATTGCAAACAATATCTTGGGTACATTTTTCACTTAATTTTTATAACTCATGTCTATAACTTACTTGAGTTGTAGTAGTAGTCTGGATCTTCCTGATTTCCTTTCCTGCTTCTTTACCATCATCAGATCTTTCAGTATCTGAAATTATGCTTCCTGCATCAATATTAGGCACAATTTTACTACCAGAAGATTCTGTTTCAAGTGTTGTAGCAGTCATCTCAGCATATTCTAAACCTTTAGAGGATGAAGCTAATTCCCTTTCAGAAATGCTACTCATTCTATCTGAAGTTGTATGAATTTTGAATTCTTTTTCTTCTATTATGCTTGATGTACAAGTTAAGTCAACACTACTAGTCATATGAGCAAGCAATCCAAGATCATCACTAACACTAAGGTGTACTTGAGTTTCCTGCACATTTGGAATAATATGATTACTAGAGAGCTCAGGAATTAGTTTCTCTTCTTGGCTAGGAATTTTGTCAAAAATAAATGAGGTACTATTATTGGTAGGTTCATCCTTCTCATCAGCCAATGTTATCAATGGGCCATTATCCTTTTCTTCACTCTTTTTAATGATGCCAACACTTCCATGGACATTGTTTTGAAGTTTCTCAACAGCAGCACTATATACGTTATCCAACAAAGATTCAACCTCCACAAGTGCACCATTTTCTCCAGTAACTAAAGTCTCAGGTGACAAATCCATATCATCAAGCTTTACTTCTGTTGCTTCCACTTTCTCTGCTTTTATATCCACTAAAAGATCATGTACCTCCACATGTACACCACGTCCTGGTCTATCTGAATTTCCCAGAACATCATCTGATACTTTTGTTGCCATGAGCAAGTCCCTGGCATCTGTGCTGACAGGGTAATCAGTTTCACTTTCTGGGCTTTGACTTTGTGAAAGATCTTCTATTTCTCTGATTTCCATTCCACCTTTGGCCCCAGTTGCCTGAGATGAGAGACCTGATATAGTGCTCACATTCCCTTTCTTTCCCTTTTTAATGTTTTCCTCCTCTTGTCTTTGATATTCTTCATACATTTTGGCTAGATATTCCTTGTGAGCTTCATAGGTGACCTTAAAAACAAGACACATTAGTGATGTTTAAAAGATACATTATACCTTGAATGTACAAAACAGAAGCAAAATAACTGATGAGGCCAGTAAGGTAAGATTATGATAGCGAAAATATTCTCATAAAGAAAAAAATGTTTAAGTTTTAAAATTTAGCACATTTTAATCTTCATTAAGAAAGCATGGCAAAGTGGATAGAGAGGTGGCTTTCAAATCAGAAAGGCTTGGGTTCAAATTCTATCTCTGACACATACTAGCTATGTGATCAGAGAGAAATCATTTAATCTCTTGGTGCTCCCAAACAATGCTCTAAGAAGTCTCTAAGACTTCTATAAAGGGCAGCTAGGTGATGCAGTGGATAGAGTACTGGGTTTGAAGTCAGGAAGATTTATCTTCCTGTGTTCAAATCTGGCTTCAGACACAAGCTGTGTGACCTTAAGCAAGTCACTTAACCCTGTTTGACTCAGTTTCCTTATCTGTAAAATGAACTGGAAAAGGGAGTGGCAAACCACTCCTATCTTCGCCAAGAAAATGCCAAATGTGATCGTGAAGAGTCGGACATGATTGAAAATGACTGAACAACAAAAACAAGTACTATATCTCTAAGACTATTATAGAAAAGCCCATTCCTCCAATAGTAAAAGGAATTTTTTACACTAAGAATTCTAGACTGATAAATCACAAGGTTGCCTCACCTCAGATGCTCAGTAAGGAAGGTACAATGAATTTAAACTAATCAATGTACAGCAAAGTAAAGGAGAGAAGGTAGGAAGGGTCTTAGTAAAAAAACAAATGATCTACAGTGTTAGAATCAATCACAGCACTGAAAGGGAGAAGGGACTTTATGGATCACCTAGCACAACTCATTCTACAGTTTAATAAATGATGCCTCAAGAGGTAAAGTGGCTTAGGCAAAGTCAAAATGATAGCAAACGGTAAGAGACAGGATTCAAACTCAAGTCCTCTGACTTAAATTCTTATGCTCTTTTTCACTCCCTATTCACTTATAGCCTGCTATATACTCCATTCTCCTCAACATCTCACATTCAATCCTCCCCCTACTCTATTAATAAACTAAACATGGACATATACCTATGCATAATACGTGAATTATTATATGATTAAGTTTTATTAATTACATCTAAAATGTGTAATTGAGAAAGACACGTTTATTTGAAAATCAATGCACTTATAAATTACTTAAAAGCACAAATCTTTCTATTTTGAGTTCATTGTGAAGCTGAGAGAATATGCTTAGCCTTGGTATGCTCAGGACAAAGTCATGTGATGAGACAACTTAACTTCCTTTCCTTGGTCCCTCCCCCGCATTATGTGCTATCATGTCTAGTAATAAAAGGAAGTTATGAATATGGAGAAAATTCAAGTACCTTTCTAATAATAGTTTATCTCAAATAGCAAACTATATAGTATTAAAAATCACTAAAGCTTACACACATTTGATGATAAATTAACACTGAGAAGAAAGAATTAGAGAACTTTAATGCTCAGAACAACTTTGTAGAGAGCAACTAAAATAGCAACTCATTTTAATGATGAAGTTTGATTTGCTCAAGTTCACATACAATTTGTGGCACAGCCAAGGCTAGCTAGAATTATTCTGACTCTCAATTTTGTATTACAACCACTACACAACAAAATGAGTGATTTTATTTTTAGATTTTCAGAGCCTAAATTTTAAAACAGCCAACTTAACTGATAATTTCAAAAACTATCAAAATTTGCATGACCAAGGCTCTAGAGAAACTTAGAAATGATAAAGTCATTTTGGGAAGCCTTATGGAAATAAAGATTGAGAGATACAAGACAATTTATACCTGTTGATCAAATGATCTCTATGATGACTACATGCTAAGGTTATTACTAAAAGGAGGAAAAAAAGACCAATCTTAATGAAATATTCATAGAAATTTTATCTATAATAATAACAACAATAAAAACCTGAAACTACCAATAGATAAGCAAGGAACTGATGACCAAATTTCAATCTATGAAATGGAATTACTGTGTCATGAGATATGACAAATGTGAATAACACAAAGAAATATGGAAAAATGTATATGAAATGATATAAAGTTGAATCAGACCAATAAATACTAATTGTGACTATAAAAATCTGCTAAAATTAATAATACATCAATAAATTTAAAAACTCACAAAAAATAAAAGATTATGAATATAAATGACAATGTTTATGGAAGCATTTTACAAAATTTAAAAGGTTATCTAAATTGTAAGGTAGTGTTATTTTTACAAATTGTAATTACTTGAAGCCTGTGGTTTTAGCTTTCTTTTTTAAGTGAAAGGAAACATGGTGCACTAGAAAAAACTCACAACATTGTGATATGGTTTAGTGTAGACAACATGAGTATTCTGTGTCAGACAACATGAATTTAAAATCTTCGTCCAATCATTTATAATATGTGAACTTGGAAAAGCTATTACCTGCATTAAGCTTCAGTTTCTTCATCTGTAAAATGTGGGGATTTGGACTAATGACCTCGAACGCCCCTTACAGTTTTCAATTACATTTTATAATACTGTGCTATATATAAATACTGGTACATATACACACAGAGACATGCCCACATGAGCAAACAAATAAAATGAGACAGTTAGATTATACATATAAGGTTTAAAATAAAATGATTCTATTTTTAAAGAAACAACACATAATCACATTTTCTTTTAACTAAATCAATCATAAATTGTGCTATCCACAAGATGGCACTAAACTATTTTGTAAAAGATCTGAGATCCATATGTGATTCAACATAAAGTTTTCAAATTAGTTGATACCTTTGAATGGGCTATTGAGAGTGTATCCACCCAGACTCTCCAGCCACCCCATTCATACTTTATTGCATGATATAAAAGGATCCGAAAAATATTGTACACCATTTCTGTAATCTTCTGTTCTTCAGAATTTTTTGGATTAATATAGCCAAGAGAAAACATCCAGTCCTGCCACACTGAACACTGAAGTAAACATCTAGGAAAAAAAAAAGATTATTTCTTTTAAAAATCTAAATAAAATTCCAAACTGACACATTTTGAATGCAACAAATATTCTTCTACATTTGAAAAAATAAGATTTCACCTATGTAAACCATGCCAAATATTCACCACGGTTTTAAAAGGGGGAATGAAAAGAAATGTGTGAAAGGAAAGAAAATTCATAGTAAAACTTATAGTAAACAACAGAATGGAGAGTGGGAGGGACACCGATTTTTTCTACTATCACATACAATAAAAATCTTAAGAATGATTATGTTAAAAATTTAAATGTCCTATAATTCTAGAGTAGATTAGGCTGTATAGGCAAGCAAGACAAGACAGTTTTCTGTTCTGGGATACACTATGCTTTCACAAAACATGTTACTCCATAAGGGAAAAAAATTAAAAAGAGTGGCAAAAGAGACTGGTATTCTGAAAGAATTTATTTTTGCTGTTTTGATTGAATAATAGACTGGCTTCGAACCTTATTTGCCAATATTTCTGTTTCAAGGTCACAAAATACACCCTCCTAACAATTTAACTGATGCACAAACTCCGTCATCACAGAAACTGGGAAGAAGAATGCAAATCCATTACCAAACTGGAAAAACAAGTCTAAGTGTTACTGATAGCCTATTAGTATAATTTCCACATATATATATGAGATACACATATGCTTGCATATGTGCACATATGTAGAAATGTGTGCATATACTATCTACATATGCATGTGTATGTATGTATAAACTGAAAAAAGTTTTTCTCTACATAAAGCAGCAAATTTGGCACAAACTCATAATCTAATATTACATAGATATGCTAATGATTTCAAACATCCTACTAACTTATAGCAGCAGAAAAATTAAAATTCAAAGTTGAGAGGAGAAAAAAATTAATTAATCACAAAATATTCAAAGTATATACCTCCTGTTTTCACGGCTATTGCTGAAAAGCTTTATCATGTCAGATAAAAATAAACGGCGGACTTCCATTAATTCTGCACTTGGTGTAGAGTTTTTTAACAATGTTGCCACAACTTTAAGAATCACTGTAAAAGAGCAAAAAAGTTATAATACAATTAGAATCATAAAAAATTTACTTCTACAATTCAATAATTATTTATCAACCACTACTTCTATAACTAGGACGAGAGAATAAGTCAAAATGGTCATGAAATTTACAAAAATGTACCAAAAAAAATAGGATTTTGAAAATTAAAGAAAAACACTTCTGATCCAAGTAATCTAACATTAAGTTAATCAGGTTACAAAAAGATATTAAGATTTACTTACTTGGATTCTGAATTTTCACTGTAGAATCTGGCTCTGGATGTGGCTTATGTACAACCTGAGTGCACACTTGCTCTGTCAAAATCTAAAATATAAAGAATTTAGTTCACATTAACATAAAAATAATTTATAAACAATTATATTAAAAGACGCAGGAAATATCTCCCTCAATATATACAACTCATTCATGAAAAAATTGGCACATATGAACAAATGCACCTTTTTAAATATGATAAGCAGTAATTTGTCTAAAACTAAGAGTTCGTAGTATTTCTAACAGCAATACAAGATGTCATTTTGATAAGTAAAGCAAGAGGTCAAGAGCAAGCATATCCACTCTCACTGTTATTATTTGTTCTAAAAAACCTAGCTATAGCAAAAAGGCATAAAGGAGGGGCAGGTAGGTAGTGCAGTGCATAGAGCTCCAGTCTTGGAGTCAGGAGGACCTGAGTTCAAATGCGACCTTAGACACTTGACACTTACTAGCTGTGTGACCTTGGGCAGGTCACTTAACCCCAACTGTCTCACAAAAAAGCATAAAAGGAAGGGAGGGAGGAAGAGAGGAAAGGAAAAACAAGGGAGACAGGAAAGAAGGAATTAAGAGAGCTAGAGGCAAAGAAAATGCAAAATTAACTCTCTGACAAGGATATGACGATTTACTTAGAGAATCCCAAAGAGTCAGAAAAAAACTACATAATCCATAACTTTACTAAAGTAGCAGGTTATAAAATAACACCACAAAAGCATCAACCTTTCTATATATTACTAGCAAAACAATACCTGGTAGAAGTGAAAAAGGAAATTCTATTTAAAATAGGTACAAAAGGTATAAAAAATCTGTGAGTTAGCCCACTAAGGCACAGTCAGGACTTGTACAACTCCAAAACATTCCTGACAGAAATAAAGAAAGACTAAAATAATAAAAGACACATTCATGGTACATGATTGGGCCATAACAATCTAATAGAGAAGATATAACCTCAATAAATTTATAGATTTTATGTGATTAATCAAAATACCATGGTACTGAAGTATCACAAGAACAGACAGTAAATAAATTCATCTGGATGAACAAAGTTGAAGAATCTCGAGAAAAATAACAAAACGAGTAGGAAAAAGGAACCTAGAATTATGGAGCTGGAGAAGGAAATAGCAAACCACTCCAGGATCCTTGCCAAGAAAATCCCAAAGGGATCAAAAAGTCAGACACAAGTAAAAATGACTTAACAACAAAATAAGAAAATTATATAAATATATAAGAATAAGAGCTATTTCTCAACAAACTGTCAAAGAACATAAACATGTTTTCAAAAAAGAACTAAAACTATAAGCAACCATGAGAAAATGCTCCAAATTATATTAAGAGAAAGGCAAATTTGAAAAAATTAAAACTCTGACGTTTTATCTCATACCCACTGAATTAGAAAAGATAATAGAAGACAAAACGGTAAATGTCCAAGTATCTGTATAAAGTGGCACACTAAATACACCACTGGTAGAGTTGTGAATTGTCTGACCTTTCTAAAAAATAATTTGGAATTATACTTAAAAAGTCATTACTCTATACACATCCATGGACCAGGTAATACTACAACTAGTAATAAAAGTATCCTAAAAGTCTTAGTACAGTTTTAAACTATTAATGCTTAAAGGTATAGTAAGACTTTTGGGACACCTTATATACCCCAAGGAGGTCAAACACAGAGATAAAGATCAATAGCAACAGCACCTTTTGTGGTAACAAAGAACCAGAAACAAATTGGATGCTAATAAATAGGGAAATGGCTGAACAAATTTTGATTATAAATATGATATATTATTACATCACAAAAATTAGGAATATGAAGAATTCAGAATAACTTGGGAAATTTTTTATGAACTGACAGAGTAAAGTAAGCAAAAACTAAGAAACAATTTAAACAATGATGATAACAATGTAAAGAAAAACACTCCAAGACAACCCAATGGATCAATTCCATGATTAGCTGTGTCGTCAAAGTACTAAAGTTAAAGAATGTTTCCTTCCCTCTTCTTGTCAGAGAAGCAAGAGGTGATATGCTTGGATTAAGTCATTTATTGTTTTGGCACTCAAAGCCAAGATGTTTATTTGTTTTACTTAACTACGTTTTTCTGAAAACAGGGCAGAGCTCATTTGGGTTGGGGGAGAGAAATGGGAAGTGTCAGGGAAGTTGCTTTTTTTTTTAATCAATAAACCTAAGAAAAAGCAATATCATGCTTTATTATGGAGACTGTGATGGGAAAGCAGCGGTGTGATGTAAAACACCATTTGTAAAAGTCCACCTGATCTCTTCTAATTCCTCATCAAGGAGGCCCTTGATGAACATGTAGATTACTCTCCATATACAAATATGTGTGTGTATGTGTACATGAAAATAAACACAAAGGTCAGCAGTTATTTATGTTCTCTTGGTAACCTTTTTTAGTAGTAATAACATACAAAAATTTTTCCACAACTTTGTATAATGTTCTCTTTTAGATATATTGATCAACCAATCCCTCAATACACTCATAAATGTGTCACCTCCAATATGACTTGGTTTATTCAGTTGCTTCTTTCACATTTTCTCTTTTTCCACTTCCATTTTTGCTAGAAGCATATCTGAGACTGTGATGTTAAAAGTCCAAAAGTGTGTACCTTTACTATCCTTGAAGGTGAAGAATTTAACAAAAATTTATGCAGGACTTTTCTATACTTACTCTGTTTTTTTTTTAATCAAATCAATCAATTCATAAACAAGTATTAAATGTCTAATAGAGGTAGCAATGGTACTCAAAGTACAACAGTGAGACAACCTCTATTCTTCAAGGAGCTTACTTAGTCTCCTAGATATAGCACATATTTGAGAATATAGGTCAGGAATTAGGGTGTTTTATATAGGCAGCAGGTCAGCAGACCATCAAACACATTCTGGTAGCAAAGGTAATAATTACAATTTATGGTGCTCTCAGCAAGAAGTGGAAAGTATGAATGTGTAAGTGAGTGAGTGAGAGAGTGTGTGCGTGCATGTGTGTGTGTGTGTGTGTACATGCTCATGATTGTGCCCTGCGGGGAAGGGGTGAGATAAGTGTTGGGGGGAGAAATACAACTCATGTGTAGAAGCAGGAAAGCAGAGAACGAGATGCCACTTCCTTCCACTCCAGTGCTGTTGCCAAAACTGAGTGGATTAATTTACGGACCTCAGTCTGGAACATCATCGAACCCAGAAGGGAAAAGTGGGCAGTGGCAGGGGAGATGGTAAGATGCCTGTGCTGGCTAAGCCCTGGAATTTTAATCTCTTTCTTATTAAATACTTCGATTCTTTTGTATTGATTTTCATTAGTTGTTATTCATGCCAACACTCATTTAATTTTTTTTTCCTTTTGCAGTTATGCATCTCCAACTGCCTAACAGACATCTGTAACTGGATGTCTTGTATGCCTATTAAACACAACATGTCCAAAACTGGACTCATTATCTTTACCTCCAAAACATTCCCGCTTCTTAACTTCCCTAGTACTGTTGTGAGTAGCACCATAACTTTCAGACACTCAGGCTCAAAACCTAGGTGACATCCTCAACTCTTTACTTTCTCTAAAAATAACATATTCATTTGTCAAGTCCTGTCTTTTCCACCTTCCAAACATCACTCTTAGATGTCCCCTCCAACACTACCACCACATTGTCACAGATCCCATTATCTCACACATCATTTATGGTAATACTCCTACTGTTTGGTCCCTCTATCACAAATCTCCCCCTACACCCAGGTGTAAAACTGATCTCTCTAAAACAAAGATGTAACCATATCATCACCTTATGCAAAAGAAATTTCCAGGTTTCCTATTACCTCCGGAATCAAATCAAAAATTGTTTGGCCTTTAAAGCCCATGGAAACCTGGTTCCTTCCTACCTTTCCAGTCTTTTTATACCTTACTCCACTCTGTATACTCTTGAGATCCATTGACATTGTCCTCCTTGCTCTTCCCTAAACATCCTATCTCCCACTACAAGCCTTTTCACTGGCTTTCTCCAGGTCTGAAACATTTTCCTGTCTAATATCCACTTCCTAGCTTCTTTTGGCATCTTTCAAGTCTCAACTTAAGTCCCACCTTCTGTATGAAGCCTTTCCCAGTCCTCCTGAACCCCACTGTCTTCTCTCTGAGACTACTTAAGTTATCCTCTATATATGTATCTTGTTCATGTATAGTTATTTGCATTTTATCTCCCCCATTACACTATAAGCTTCTTGAAAGGAAGAGCTGGTTGATTTGTTTTCTGCTCTTTTTTTCTTTTTTCTGTATCCCCAGTGCTTTGCACAGTGCCTAGAACAGGTAGGAGTTTCATAAACGTTAGTTTTCACCTAGCATTCACTAAATTGACTATGGTTTATACTCTTGCACTATCATTCTCCATAAAGTTTAACAAATCTCTTTCTATTTTACATCAGTATTGCTCTTAGAAATAATCTCTCTCTGACAAAGAGATTAGGTATAAACTTACTGGGGGAGTGGCAACTAATTATGGTAAATACATGGCTTAAAATTCTTTATGATACCAAAATCAATGGCCTTTCCTCTATTCATTTAATTTATTTTTTTCTGGCAATCAAAATTTTATTTAAGTAAGTCAAGTTGGCATTTTAGTTGCATGGAAAACTATTTTCTGGAGACTTCCACTTCTGGGAACCAAGATGGCAGAGTAAAAAGGTAGTTGCTCTCACCCTCCCCTATCAACCTCTGAAAACCCAGAAAATATCACCCTAGAAGAAAAAAAAAACCCTGGAACAGCTGAACTAGAAGAAAGATGGGGAACAGCACTGCAGCAGCCCAACAAACAGGTCTCCCAGTGCCTCAGCAAAGGTGGGGGAAGCAGCACTGCAAAGGGCCCAGGCTGAGGGGCACCCTGCAGCATTCACCTGAAGGGAGCCAAAGAAAACAACCTAGAGTCTTTCTAAAGTCCCAGCCTTGCTGATTCCAACTCAACACCAGGTAAGCTGTCAGAACCCTACAGCCTCCAACTGTCAACCAAGAGGAGAGCCTGAAGCCCAGGTGGTAAAGCAGGCAAACACCAACACCTGGACCTCC